ACCGCCCAGCCGCGCTGCCCACGCACTGACCGCTCTGTGCTCACTGTGGTCACTGTGGTCACTCTATGATCACTCTGGTCACTCTATGATCACTCCGGTCACTCTGGTCGCACTGTGGTCACTGTGGTCACTCTGTGCTCACTCTGGTCACTCTGTGCTCACTGTGGTCACTGTGGTCACTCTGTGGTCACTCTGGTCACTCTGTGCTCACTCTGGTCACTCTGTGGTCACTGTGCTCACTGCGGTCACTCTGTGGTCACTGTGGTCACTCTGGTCACTCTGTGCTCACTGTGCTCACTGCGGTCACTCTGTGGTCACTGTGGTCACTCTGGTCACTCTGTGCTCACTGTGCTCACTGCGGTCACTCTGTGGTCACTGTGGTCACTCTGGTCACTCTGTGCTCACTGTGCTCACTGCGGTCACTCTGTGGTCACTGTGGTCACTCTGGTCACTCTGTGCTCACTGTGCTCACTGCGGTCACTCTGTGGTCACTGTGGTCACTCTGGTCACTCTGTGCTCACTGTGCTCACTGCGGTCACTCTGTGGTCACTCAGGTGGGGTCGCTGGCGGGAGCTGACCGCCCAGCCGCGCTGCCCACGCCGCCTGTCGGAGCGCGAGGCCGAGCGCTTGAGCCGCGCCATCGTCCTGCTGTGCCTGCGCCACTTCCGGGGGGACGCGGGGACGCGCGCCTTCGCCTGCGGGCTGCTGGCCGGAGAGCGCGGTGAGTGACCGCTGAGTGACCGCTGGTCATCTGGGGTCATCTGAGGTCATCTGGGGTCATTCTGGTCATTCTGTGTCCTGACACACCGCGGCGCCTTCGCCTGCGGGCTGCTGGCCGGAGAGCGCGGTGAGTGACCGCTGGTCATCTGGGGTCATTCTGGGGTCACCTGGGGTCATCTGGGGTCATTCTGGTCATCTGGGGTCACCTGGGGTCACCTGGGGTCCTTCTGGTCACTCTGTGTCCTGACACACCGCGGCGCCTTCGCCTGCGGGCTGCTGGCCGGAGAGCGCGGTGAGTGACCGCTGAGTGACCGCTGGTCATCTGGGGTCATCTGAGGAGTGACCGCTTCATTCTGGTCATTCTGTGTCCTGACACACCGCGGCGCCTTCGCCTGCGGGCTGCTGGCCGGAGAGCGCGGTGAGTGACCGCTGAGTGACCACTGGTCATCTGGGGTCATTCTGGTCATCTGGGGTCACCTGGGGTCACCTGGGGTCCTTCTGGTCACTCTGTGTCCTGACACACCGCGGCGCCTTTGCCTGCGGGCTGCTGGCCGGAGAGCGCGGTGAGTGACCGCTGAGTGACCGCTGAGTGACCGCTGAGTGAGCGCTGGTCATCTGGGGTCATCCTGGGGTCATCTGGGGTCATCCTGAGTATCCTGGGGTCACCCTGGTCATTCTGAGTGACCAGTGGTCATCCTGGGGTCATCCTGGTCATTCTGAGTGACCACTGGCCATCCTGGGGTCATCCTGGGGTCACCTTGGTCATCTTGAGTGATCAGTGGTCATCCTGGGGTCACCCTGGTTATCCTGAGTGACCAGTGGTCATCCTGGGGTCATCCTGGGGCCATCCTGGTTATCCTGAGTGACCAGTGGTCATCCTGGGGTCATCTGGGGTCATCCTGGTCACCCTGGGGTCATCCTGGTCATCCTGAGTGACCAGTGGTCATCCTGGGGTCACCCTGGTCATTTTGAGTGACCACTGGTCATCCTGGGGCCATCCTGGTCATCCTGAGTGACCAGTGGTCATCCTGGGGTCACCCTGGTCATCCTGAGTGACCAGTGGTCATCCTGGGGTCATCCTGGTCATTCTGAGTGACCACTGGTCATCCTGGGGTCATCCTGGGGCCATCCTGGTTATCCTGAGTGACCAGTGGTCGTCCTGGGGTCATCT